CACTCCTGATATGGACCTCCGCCCAGAACGGAACCATGATAGCATGCGAAACAGCAGTGGTGCGCACGCCCGGTTGACCTGGCTGAAATGGGCGTCGACGCTGGCGCTTGAATAACGGTTTGAAAGGAAACACGGTGTAGCCTTTACTCGAGTTAACTTTTCTTTCAAATGCAAAGACATGGAAAGCTGGTTGGGTTTCGTGTAAGTTTCATTGCAGATAAACTAGCCGAAAGAGTGTTTTCACTCGACGTGCGGTAGTGAGTTGCGGGTGGTGGAGATAGTGAAGCGAGTGAAAAGCGTGTTGCGAGTGGGCGAAGGAGCAACACCACCTATAAAAGTTTACTAGGAAGAGCCGGCAGCTGCTGCGCGTGAGAGAGAGAGTGGCGTTAACGCGCAGCTGCGACTTGACCTACTTGGCATCGTTTCAACAACTGCAGCGGGGGGAACGCGGTACGGTGTGTTAGCACGGAGATACGCATGGACAACGTTACACAGGCTAGTTAAGAGCTGCTTCATATCTTAAAAAAACAAAAAAAAGGAGAACCAGAGAGAAAACGAAAACCGAAAAGAAAGCCATTAGGTAGTAGTCACTGATATATCAGTTCCGCTGCTGAAAGATTCAATATTAATCAGCATGGTGTTGATCTCATATGTATAATTAGTAAATTTCGTGTCTTGTAACTTTTTTGTATTAATTGAATATCCGATACCTTCTGTCTAACTTTTCTTCTTGGCTGATTCCCAGTGTGAGTGTAAGCCGTAAATAGAGGCCATCATTATCCTCACCAAAAAGAAGACTGCCCAGCTTTGCACTCCCACCAGGCTTGACACCACAGTACGAAACGGCGTTAATCTTATTCAAGGGTGAAGCACCTTACGGCTTGCACGTAAAACATAACATATAAAATATCCTCCTTACTCCATGGGCCGTTCTCGTCTGTGCAGTTGTAGTAGTATTATGCGGCCACCTCTAGTTTATGAGTTGTACAATTGATGGGGTTGTGTGTAGATGTACTTAGATATAAATATAACCAGATGGCGTTAGTGGTTTCCACAGCATATCCACGGAGTGAATCATTAGTGGGGCAAAGCGTCCATCCATCCTTCCCTATGCGAACCGTGCATGCGTTGGTCCATGCGTCTGTCTCCCTATTCCTGCTTTTGCTGGCCTGTCTGTCTATCCGTCCATCCATGCTTCCGTCCGTCAGTGCTTCCCTCTGTCTGTCCGTGCATTCGTCCGTGCTTCTTTACGCCCGTTCGTGCACTTGTCCGCCTATCGGTCCATATGTCCGTCCATCCATGCGTCCATGCTTCTGTCCGTCCGTTCATCCATCCGTCCGGACAGACGGATGCTTCTACCCGCTTATCATCATTCACTCAGTGAATACTCTGTGATTTTTATTTCTGAAACCTCAAACTTTGCCTAACTGTGTCACACTGAAGCAGTATATATGTAGAAGCCAGTATTTCCTGATAGTCCGACACTGAAGTAAGCATCCTCACACTTCAAAAGCTGTAGAGATTATTTGTATCATTATAAGCATACCGATTCCCCGACAGAACTTCTTTGACTCGCTTCCATCACTACTTGCCGAGCCAAGCTGCACCGGTAAAAATTCTTATTGTTAAGCTAAGTATAAGGTGCACTGTTACATGTACTTAAACGCGGAAAGGCACCAGAATAGTGGATGGGCGCCCTAACAAAATTTTAGTAAAATACACACTGGGGTCGATGGAAAGCTGCTGGGTGATTGTAAGACCGGAACTTCCATCCGAAATTGCTCAGAAATGCAAACCTGCACTTGCGCACTACACAATTTTTGCTGACTTTTGACTCCTCATGACGTTGAATATATTAAGACCGTTTTTGAAATCACCACCTTAGATAAAGTTAACTTAGCTTTAATGATAGTATATGCAATATTGTAGTATAGCCAACTAATCAAATACTATAAGGTAAGTAAATAAAACTTCCAATCGTTCGAGTACTTGTGCAAACCAAAAAAAAAAAACATCTCGCTTAAAAACACCACGAGCATGCAAGTTTTTAAGATGTGCGCCATAATTGCATTCATAATTTATTTATTTCTTCATGTATGGCAAACTGTATAGAAGTGTTTAAACTAGGGGTAGCATAGACATACAGATGCATGGTGACACGAGCTTTGTATATCGCAAGTGCACTCTCAATCAGTTCGACGAATCCACCTTCACTCGCAAAATGGCACGTCAGCACTTTCTTGTTCCTGCTTGATCGAAAGCTTTGTGTCGGTAATTCACGTTGCCCATGCTTTCACGCTATCGGACAAACCTTTATTATTGCTGAAATTCCCATTCACTGCACAGTATTTTTCTTTGAATTCAGTTCATGAATGATGGTGATGTGCGGTGTTTTATGGCGCAAGGGCCGTTCGATAGCCAAAGGACGCCAGGTAAATGGACAAGTCAGTTTATGAATACACGACAATACTCTGCTGATTGAAGCGAAAATGGTAAGGAAATGTGGGAGGTCGCTGAGGTGTTGAACATGAGATCGATAGATAGATAGATGCCATGTTATTTATTTGGGAATTGCTGGTGGATAAGTATTGTGATCACATTTGAACTGGAAATGTAAAATATTCATGACGCATTCACTAGCATATAATAAACGTATAGGAGAAGCGTTTGAAATTGCAATTTCATTCATACCGAAATTCGGGTGCGGGCATTATCCTCCTTCGCTGGTGTTTTAAGTCGGTCAACCTATAACAATCAGTGCTCCTATTGGGAGCATGTGTAGGTTATATCACTTTTAAGGATATAGGCTAAAATTTGTTGTGGCAAATAAACAGGATATGTTTACATTGTGACTGCAGAAATACGCATTTTGGAATGATAGCATCCCATAAACCAATCAAGCGTGTGTATCCTAACTAAGCCTAGTTTAAGAAACCATTAGAGTTACCGTGAGCTTAAATTGTGGCATGGGTACGTCACACAACGAAATTCCGTCTGGTGCTTAATGGTATGTGACCATTGAAGCAGACGCGCGCACCTTCACGAGGACATCAATCTGAGGCTGGACGACACCGCAGTTGCCTGCGCTTTCTTCACAGACCAGGCTGGCTAAATGAAAAGAAAGAGCACGCCATCCCATGACGAGGAATGCACGAAGTGTACAAAACCAAAGCATTGGCAACAAAACCCACTTTCGTTTAGAATGACCCGTCAGTGCGGAAAGCAGACACGCCTCCTCGCTTTCCTGCTTCGCCCGTTGCGGGTGCGGCGTATATAAGCGCTTCTTCGCGTCGCTCTGTCTCCACACCGAAGTGAGACCAGTCACTCGAAGACATGGATATAATAATCCAGGTAAGTCACACGCTTCATTAGGTCAGAGAAAACCAAATATCTGTAGGACATAATCTACAACTACACTCTCCTATCGCAGAATAAATAGAGAGTTTTAGTACTGCCGAATGATGCTACGCACGCATCACGCAAGCACCTTGCGTTACGTGGCGTCATTTGCCACTAATCGGCTTTTAGCACGCCGTAGTGCCCGCGTACTTAACGAGCGTGAAGAGTGTTGCGTCATCTGGTAGATCAAAATAGAAGCACGTGTTGTTGACAGCCAATATGAGCCAATCCAAGTGTTATAGCCAGATTATCGCCATATTTTAAGCCACAGAGTCGGTCGGTGCTTGCCTTCGATGCCGCCATTTTGCAAAACGAAGTCTCGTACTGTCGCGAACTTGTTCGAGAGCGGCGCGATCAGCTCATATTTACGCACGCACGCATCTCATGCGTGCGCACGTAGTGGCAGCGTATGTAACGTGATACGTGCGAGTAGCGGTCTGCACAAACGCACTACGCAGAACTTGGCATGCTTACGTACGCAGCGTACGCAGTACTAAAACTCTCTAATTTTGCGAAAAATTACACGTAACTACGTAAGCTATATGAGTCCTTCAATCGAGGCAAGTGTAAGTGTAACAGAAAATAATATGGACTAGTTTTCCTGTAATAATTGTGAACAGTGAGTACTTAGCCTAATTACGTGGGTGATGATAGGCAGCACACGAAAGAAAAAGTTTCTTTTATCATTGCATATTAGCGTATATCCTGTAGTTGTACAGAAAGATTAGTGTTAATGCTAATGCTGACCTCAGCTGTTACGCTTGTATATATATAAAAGTACCTTAAAGACAAGTGTGTCATTACAAATAACTCGCCAAACCCTCAGGAATGGCAACAGTACACTACCAAATATGAATGAATACTCCGCTGTAAGCTGGACTAGCGACCATTTATAGAATACAATGAAATGTGAACGTTAGAAAGAAAAGGTTTTTTTGCCAAAAGTCAAGAATTGAGGTAGAATTCTCGTGGAACAGAAAAACACTAAAACCGCTCAGAGTGGCAAAGAGCCCATGGGGCACCGTCTTTCACAATGTCAAAAATGTCAAAGAAGGTGCTCTATAATTCCCTAATGCTACACACTTTCATCTTTGCTTTTTTGTAGGTTAATATTCGCGCTAGACATGACGTATAAGAGCTGTGATATGTGTTATTTTTGAAATACGAGTCTTTTTAATGGAGACAAACTGCGCGATGAAACCGTTATTTGCCTCTCTGAGTCAGATCTAAATGTATCCAACCCAGCTGTCTCAACTCCAGTAAATCATGCAGTTAGGATACCGCATCTTTCCTTCTGGCTAAACGATAAGATATCGGCATTCTCACTTGTAAATTCGTAAGAAAATATTTTTGCTCGCACGCACGGGAACAATAATAGAAGGTATAATTGTTTACTGTCACTTTGCTGCTAACTGCAGTATTCTCAAACGTACCGAAGGCAACACAGAGATACAAGTCTTTTTGCGCGTATGATCTACATTAGGATCGCAAGCAAATTGACAAATACGCGATGCCTAATAGCCGTAGCCACTGAAACTCCCGTCGCCTGATATGTTCTGATTGTTCCTTGATGCCCCAAAGGCTGTCCTGTTTCTCCTCACCATCTCTGGAGTCTGCTCAGAAGGGCGTTATGGCCAAAGTGGAGGGTATGGTGGCTCCGCTGGAGGCGCCTCCGGGGTACGTACTGCAATAAGGTGTACAATAGATTGCTCTCAGTTTTACGAGAAAAAAATAGACACTGTAATCTCAAAGTAAATGAGACAGAGCTACCAAAAATAACTCAGCAACGCAGAGATTTATTCAAAATTCAATAACACGAATATAAAAGAGAGGAGAATAATGAAGGATAAACTCATGCACAAATAAATGCTCAGCAGCTCTAGTTCTAGTGTACCGCGTTTCCTTTAATCCTGGTGTTTTGTGCTAGTCCACCTTGCCAAACTTGGAACAAAGCCTGGTTAGTACCAAGGTATTAGCTAGGAAAATAGCTTTTGCTTTATTGACAGGAAAAGCACGAGTATTTAAAAGTTATTAAAGCAGAACTATTGATGTCCTAGCCTTGTATTCATTTGCCATTTACTAATAAAATAAAAATATCATATAACAACATACAGCACCTAATGTTCTGTTAAAGGAATTGGGTTCCACTGGTGCACTTTTTACATAGATGAGAAAATTCAGACTTCTGTAGTTCAGTAGCAATAATTAGGCAAACAGAAGAAACTGAAGCGTAGAGGACAGTGGGAATAAATATTGGTCCGAGTGCACATATTTTTAAGACAACTGACAAAACATGATGAATTGATTGCTAGAGGCACAAAACGGGTCAAGTGACTTTATTGTTATGCGTGAAGTGGTGCAGAACCAACATTGGTTATGGCAGTTAATTTGTAGAATTCATATGTCACAGAGGTACTTGAATCTAGTACGCATATACGTTACTGCTGTTCAAGTGATTCACTGAGCTCAGCGGTGAATGTGTGATTCTGCTGTATTTACATTTCTCAAACATATTTTGTAATGTCACTATTCCGATGCACAAGTTGTACAATCAAAATTAACGTGTTCTGATATGGGTGCTGTCTCGAAAGTCGCTGCTTTTATCGTAGTCGTGATGATCGTATTTCAATGTGAAGGAAATATTATGCGTCCTTGTGATATGAATGTCTGTCAAAAAAAAAAAAAGGTTTTCTGCACTTCCGTAACTACGGCGTGCTTTATATCGCAGTCTTTTCTCATAAGATGTCCAAAATTTTCTCGCTATCACGTGATTCACGATTGCGTTTTCCTGTCTTTTTTTTTCAGGCAATATGACGCAGTTATGTGAGTGCTTCTGCAGAGAATACTTTTAGAGTTCAACTCTAACTTTCGAGAATTGCGCCAAGTACGAGGCCTTGGAGGTAGCATGCTCATGGCCTTTGTTTCAGTTAAACGTAAATGTTCGCTTCCTTTACAGTCTGCTCTAGTTTTGAGGAATGCAAGGCCGCTTGACTGAACGTTGACTCGACACAACTCCTGCTTGCGGATTTTTCATCTCAAGCTTCAACCTTCCTCTCGCTACCATTCTTTTGATTTCCAACCATTTTTCAGCGAAAAGACATGCGAAATTTCGTGCAAACTAAACTACTGTTCAAAGGCTGCCTTCACCAGCTTTGCCTACAGAGGAACTTTAATCCTGTAGTGAGCCTTACTTCTCTCACTTGTCCTAATTGTTTTGTTTCACCAGGCTCCTCAACCATACAGTTTTGAATATGACACCACTGACGAGCTTGGCACCCAGTTGTTCCACAAAGAGCAAGGTGACGCCAGCAACACTAAGACAGGTTCATATGGTTACCGAGACGCTAACGGCCTGTATCGCACGGTCACTTACGTCGCTGATGCCAATGGATTCCGTGCTACCGTGGACACCAACGAGCCCGGAACGTTGCCGGGATCAAGCGCTGATGCTGTATTTAACGCAAAGCCTGTAGCGGCAGGCGGTGGGGCCACAGGTGCAGGAAAAGTACTTCCAGGCCGCTACACCGGATCAAAGCCAGGCGCTGGTGGATTCGGAAGTGCTGGGGGAGCCGGTGGACCCTGGGCTGGATGAATCCTTCGTACTAAATAAAGCCAAGTGCTTGCTCGAGTTCTGCGCAGAGGAAGCGTTTGCTTAGCCGTGTGTACAAAAACATATCAGAAAGAATAATATAGTGGAGAGTAGTGCAATAAACGAACTATGTGGATGCCACGGCCCCTTTAATTAATATCTCATACTACCTACGCGTGACCTAAATACGTTTTTATAGTATTGGGATGAAGGTACTTTTGTTTGCTATATACTCAGCATATTATTGAGCATAATGAATCTAAATGTGCAAGAATTCCTAGAGTGAAGAGGTCCGGAAAGTTCCTAGTAAGAACAAGTTAGATCACTCATGAGAATCAATTCTTTGTGAGAAAATTGGCGTCTTGTACAAAGTGTCAGATGAGCCTAAATATTGGTATTACGGACTGGGCCCCGTAACGAGAAGTAACACTGCAGCGCTATAAAACCACTTGTCATGCGCTTCAGTTTTCTATGTTTATGATCTGCAGAATTCGTATTTCCTAATACTTGAAAGTATGAACAAACTAGCCGTGCAACAAATTTTTTTCAGGCAGATGTATAGGCCAGAAAAATAAGCGGAGCTCACTCAAAATCACACCAAAAATATTTTTCGCTTAGGACAACCTTGGGATCACAATCACGAAAATTTGCCTGAAGCAGGCTCAGTCGGAATCAAAGTTACCTTTGTTTTCGACGAAACTCATTTGGAATCCGACTCACCTACACTTCTTCAAAACAGTCGCAAAAATTTTCCTCAAGCATACTCACTTGGACTCAGACTCATGCACCCAAATACAACTCAGACGGACTCACTCGGTTTCTGACTTACAAAAATATAACCCAGCGGGTGTGCGATTCACAATTTTTTTGGCAACAGCACTTACTTGGACTCACAAACTCAGCAAGTGTTTAATTAAGTGGATGTACTCGGAACGGAAATCACAAGTATTTGATTTGGCCCGGCTCATACAATAAATGTCAGAGCAGCGGTGAAAGACACTATATGCGGAAGATGAGTGTAACGAGAAAGGTTCGCTTAGCTTCGTTTTTTTGATGCATTGGCTGGGAACGTAGATGAAGCCACCAATCTACGAGGCTCTGCCAGTTTAAAAACAACTCATCAGCAGAAGAAACATACACACAAAACCAATACTATGTGAACAGAGATAAAGACCGCACCAACCAATTATCGTCTCTAACCCCACACAAGTCAAGCGCTCCTACGTGACGCAGGCTCACCAACTTGACTGTTCATCATGTTGGGGGAGGCATATTGCTGAGGCATCGTGCCTGTATGAGGTGCTGAGTGGTAAGAGGGATGCTTCCGAGAGGTGGGCCCGAGCATCTGGTTACTTGCAATGGAGCTATGTGCTTGCATTTCGAAGCGCAGGAAACGGAGGTAGTTGGCGGCCTAGAGATGCCCGTTGTCTCCACTTGTGGACTGCAACGTTGATGTACAACGCTCGGGTCTGGCCACCAAGCTGCTTCGAACGACTCACTCCGTCTGAATCTTTATTTTTCGTTTTCGACACTCTATTCTTCGTGCTCGAGTCCTTCACTACTACACATAGGTCCACCACTCACTCATTCGCGCACGCACCATTGCAAAACCGCGGTTCCTTGCAGTCAGGCCCAACGCTTTAAACGATTGTGCTCCAACTGCGAAGATTTCGTAGCTAATTGCGAACAGCTTCAAACTTCTCTCCCAAAGCGACAATATCAATCGGCTTTATTTGATGACGCTAAAGATAGAGCTGACAACTTAGAAAGAGCGGAAATTATGAGAGGAAAACGTTTGGCCAAAAAACATAATAGCACATAACTTATACTAATGCAATCAGCCTTGGTACCAAAGGTACATTGCATATTAAAATGCCATTGTGATATCTTTGTGCAAAGTGAACGACTAAAGAGTATTTTTCTTGAACCACCTAGTGTGATATACCAACGATCCAAGATTTTCCGGGATTTATTAACTTCATCAAAAGTGAATCAGCACAAAATAACTGCCAGTGCCCCTTGAAAGAAAGCACGTTTCCAAGTGTACGCACATACAGAAAGCCATTAGCACGTTCTCAGACTTCCCTCTTAACATTGGAGGTTCGTTTATTGTGACAGTTCTAACGTTATATATATGCTTGATTGTACCGTCTGAAAATAACAGTACATTGTACAAACGAAAACTTTATTTCAAATGCACTTCAATAACCATAGATCGCATGCAATAAGCCTTCGAGCCTTCCATTATCAAAGCACATTCGGTTACCGGAACATTCTTTTGAAAATATTCAGGCCACTATACTTGAGTCAGACTTTCGTTCGCATCATGATCGGCAGGCCCGTGAGTCTTACCCAATCTTCAAGTTTAACACCGTCTTTTTATTGAACAAAAAATAAAAGAAGAAGTTTTTGTCACCATTACTTGGTGATAGCTACCCCTTTCCACTTCATTGGTACAAATAAAGAAAATAAAAAAAACAATAGCTATATACATATATGCAGTCCTACATGGGTGAGAGCTAAAGTTTTTCTTTGGGCAGAACAAACACGTATACGCCACGCTCACTTTTAACTTTTGTCCGCTCAGTAGTCGTCACAAATCTTCGTTTCTTCGAGGAAGTGTTGCAGCACCTTCATTGCTTTCCCATTCGTTTTCGATGGCCATGAACCTAGCATTTTATTCAACGCATATGGCCCTAGGGATCTAACTTATGGTGTTCCTGTTCTAGCGGCCTTCGGTGTGTGTCGTGTTTCGGATAGTCCAGCAAGAGATGACAGATATCCTCTTCGTAGCAGCCGCATGAATATGCTGACAATTTCGCACGCTGAATACAAAAAAGCAAGTGCTTCGTGGAAGCAGTTCCGAGTCGTAGGGGATGTTTGATTGTGTATATACGTTTTTTGAGGTCACGGTCTAATTGGTATTTAAGATTAGGATCAACAGAATATAGGATCTATTCCTTTGTTTTGTCTGCAAACCAGGTACACAAGCATGATTCACGTTTCGTTGTTCCTAAAACTCTACTTACTTCATATTGAGAT